CCATTGGAATTCCCTCTCTAGAGCTTACGAGAGCGTCTTCAAGCAAAAAATTCCATTTTACATTTGTTATAGATGTTTGATAATTCTTTAATGTGGAATCGTGTGTTTTAAAATTTCCTGTTTGACTTAATAAAAATTATCGAGTTAATTATTGACATTTATGTACTAACTGCAATAGATTGACCAACGGAGMGAAGCAAGAAAAATACTTCTACAGCTAAATAAGCTTTTGCAGCGTTGCGGTAAGTGAATTTTTAATTATTCTATTTTAGATTCCATTTCAATAAGATCTTGATTAGAAGCTCACATTTTTCAATATTATAAACTTTTATCTTATGATCAAGAGATCTTGAGATCAGAAAGGAGTGGAGAGGGATGGGTGGGTGGGTAAGGTTAGATTGCACAGTTAGTAGTGCTGTGGAATTTTGTCACTTGCACGTGATAGGCATACGTGGAAACAAATACGGAAGTGTTTATCACTCTATTCTTTTTACATTCACGAATCCTGTTTCAATAAGGAATGTGCATCGATGCCAGTGTCCAGAGAACAACAGGTTTAAGCTTTTGAGTTTCCTAAACTACTTGTATCATTGTAAAAAAAGGGAAATTAGTTTAGAGCTTATATGACTATATTTACGATAACCCTTCGCTGGGCAATTTGACGTCGCTACAAATTGCCGGCTATTGAGTTGAGTTCCATTCTTGCATATCAAGAGAGCAGTTACCTGAATTTTGACAAGAATCGTTTAAAGCTGAAGCACTGTCTCGCCTGTGTGCATTTTTATTTGCTTATAAACTTAATATACATGTATTGAGAGAGTGCGATTTTTCCATTGTAGATTTTGTCGAGAAAAGCCATGTCATCTTTGCTACTGTCCCAATYATTAAGTTCGTTGACAGAGTCAGGTAAAACGATGATAAAGCTTTATTTGTGCCTTTTGTTCCTGTATGAAAGATATGATAATAATGTAGTATAAAATGTATACACTATGAAATAAATAGACGCGGCGATTTTATCTTCGTGTGTTGAAAAGATCTCTCACGAGTGAGAAATTTATCACACGAGAAGATAAAATTCGTATCTCCAAGCGACCATATATTATTCTGATTATCATGTAATCGCAAGACATAATGTTTGTAATTTTTAATCGGATGAGGGAGTGGCTGATCCCATTAAAGAGTGCTCAATACACATAAAGTGTAGAGCTAGTTATATATATGATATCAAAGAGGCAAGATTTTGCTGTAACTCCGAGTTTCGTGCTACGCACTCATCAGACAGTATTTAAGATTTTGCTGTAACTCCGAGTTTCGTGCTACGCACTCATTTTTGTAATTTTTATATATTTTTATTACAGCAAATGTGAATGTGATATTAACATCAATAACCATGTGGTAGG